AAGTATGATGAAATGTTAGAAAGTCTAGAAACTTCATGTGATGACGGGAACATTGAACGTGTATGGTTCATTGTCTGTTGTAATTTTCAACTCACTATCTGGATGATTTGAATCTGTGCACATGATCTTGGCTAAACATTTAAGGATATGAAGGGAAAGCTTTGAATGACAAGGCAGCTGATGAAGTTGACTTTTGATGACTTTTATTAATTGTTTAAACAGTGATGACAGAAATGATATAAGTGTATTGTCACAAATGGAATTTATTTTGAAAGCAGACAAGATTGATATACTTGGAATCATGTAAAATCAAAAACACATCACAAATTATCAGTTAAGCGTCAGTTGAAACCGTTTGATACTGGTATACAGTAAAGGCTTTATAAAGAAAGGTTGTGGTGTTAAACAAGACAAATATATAAAGTGACGAGGGGATTCGCATCTCAGTTAGATCCTTTGGTAGTATTGTTCCCTGATCTATGTATTCATTCATCGTTCAACATGGAATTAAAGATTTTTTCAAAGACATATTCTATGAAAAGTTGGATTATCTAATACAATCTTCTCTGGTCATTTATTATTGTGATTAGAAGTATTCTAAATAATGTACTAACTAGGAATTTTCGAAACAGTTCAATTTACAGCAGATAAAACTAGATGAGCACAAATGAACGTATTGTATTTGGAATTCGTAATAGGCGGGTAATCAATTAAAAAGGAATCATTAGTTCATACAAATACTACATCCGCCACAGCTTAAATTTAGAATCTGAATTTCTGCAATCGATTACACTTCTCCTTAAGTTCATCGTACTTCTGTCCGACTGTGTATCGGATGTAGACTCCCTATGATCTAGAATATACTCATTAGTATTGGAATCAACAACTAAAATTGGAACAGACTCACTTGGTCCCTGGATTTGTATTTGATTAACATGTCGGTTGCATGTACTTAAATGATTGATATCTAAAATTTAAACCACAGACTTTCTTACATTATCCTACCACATGAAATAATGTTGAAGCTGCGTCATACGGGATCGAATCCATCATGGAGCATCAGTTCCCTCAAGATTACAAGTACACCTTGCTGACGAGTTCTAAGTAGCATGAAACTTAGGTTCAGGGTTTTCCGTTGATTACCTCCAACCACCATCTTATCTCAACATAGTGCACACAATGTCGAGTCACCTAGACTGGTGGCCACATTGCCACTTGGTCGATAGCATTTGATCTGCACTAAGAAGGACCTGACATTGATCACTACCCAGCGATCAATCAATTGTAAAACCCTCATAGTAAAGACGATTCTAACAACTAAAGTTGATCAATCAGAAATCAATGTAAAAGAAACGGATCAATAGAAATACTTCAGTGTTATTCATATTCAATTTAATTACACTAAAATGAAATAAATAAATAAGGTAGAGAAAACACTCCATGTAAAATTATAGTGAAAATACAAATCACTACACATAATAATCTGTTATTGTTTATCTACAATTTCAATCTGATATGTAGACGAAGAAGATAATGATTGGTTGTTTGCTTCGTAATCCCTAGTAGATAGTTTGAAAGGTACTAGATGAGTAATATATATTCTCATATTATATTCCCATATACATCAATAAATGTAAATGAAGACAACTAGTGTAGCAATAGTTTATGCATCAGTAGGCCTCAACATGAACAAAAGAAAAATCAACATACAACATAAAGAACACCAACACAAATCACGCAGTAACAGCTACATATAACTCTTTAGGAACGGTGATGGTGTTGGTAAGTCTATTATCATGGGTCTTATTTTTTACAAATTTATCAAATATCACTGTTGGAAAGGAATTCATCATCATCATCACTCACAACTTGGGTGACTATGATAATTAGAAGTAATTGAATTATAGTATGAACTAAGAGTCTCAGGGATAACGCAATCGAATCAAGAAGTACTACACAAACACTAACGAGTGTACTGTATTTAGAATTCGAAATCAAACATTCAACAAGTACAAAGGAGTCATTAGTTCATTCAAACACCACATCCGCCACAGCTTAAATTAGAGTCTAAGTGTCTGTAATCAATTGTACGTCTTCTCCTCAAGTTCATGCTGTGTCTGTCCGACAATGTATTGGATAAAGACTCTGTATTATCTAGAATGCACTCATTATTATTAGAATAAACAACTGAAATCGGAACAGATTCACTTGATTTCTGGGATTGTGTACAATCATCATGTCGGCTGAGTACTGAAAGTACTGCTACCTAGAATTTCAACCATAGACATTCAGACTATCCTCCCCCACGAAATAATGTCGGATCTTCATATCCCCAAGTTATGAATAATATGGCTTCATTTAAAACATCTTTCTCAATTTGACTACAGTAAACATTGGAAGTGAATTTATGATAAGGACAAACAATAATTGATATGGAATCATCTGAGTTGTAATCAGAATCGAACTCATTTAATACTCGTGCTTCGCATTGAACAAGTTTCTCACAAGAAACAAATGCATCATGAAGACAAATAATATTTGATATGACATCAAGATTCGATTCTTCTGAAATAGTTTCCTCGAATTTATTAAGAATGTCATTGCAGAGTAAAGGATCGTTAGAAAAATCAGCATCTATCAAAACTACATCAGTTTTTTGATCATCATTAGGTTTATTCGAAATATTCTCATCAGATTTGTAAGAAATTTCATCAGAAATATGTGAATCATTAGGAAAAATCACATCTGGTACAATAACATGAGAAATCTGATAAGTTGATTGATTAGGAATTGTTGCCTCGCAAAGATTCTGAATTTCATTTAACTCTGAACTGCTATATGACTCTAAACTGTCTTTTGAAATCGTCGATAAAGATAAATGATCATTATAAATATTCAGATTAATGGAATCAGAATCAAAAGACTTAATATTAGTTGCAGCAAGATGAACAGTAGTATTACAAACTGACTGGATATGTCCAACATCAACACATTTAAAGCACTTACAATTACGAAATTTACATGAATTAAAAGGGTGGAACTTGCCACAAGAAAAACATTGACTAAACTTGTGCCCATCTTCGTGAACTGCACAACCTTGAGTATGCATTGGGATGGGGTGATGTAATGTAGTGGAATTTTTTATATCCTCATAAATTATTTTACAAAATCTCCCTTTATCGCATTCGAAATTTGTATATTTTGCATAGTCTAGAAGTAGTTCCTTGAGAGTTGTATAAGGAAGAGAAATGGGCTTTTCCGGTGATGCCAAAATTTTTAATAAGCCATATGCTTCTTTTCCAATGAATGTGAGAAAATGTGCCACAATATTAATATCCTCATCATCTTTCTTGGTCATGCTCCAGATTTCAAACCTTTCCAAATAGTCCTCAAAAGCTTCAGAAGTTGAATGAATATCTAACTGTTCCATCGCAGATTCTGCTCGCGACGCCAATATGATAATTAGAAGTAATTGAATTATAGTATGAACTAAGAGTCCCAGGAATAACCCAATCGAATCAAGAAGTACTACACAAACACTAACGAGTGTACTGTATTTAGAATTCGAAATCAAACATTCAACAAGTACAAAGGAGTCATTAATTTATTCAAACACCACAGTGACATAGGATCAACTTTGTAATTAGTAGATTATCATCATTATTAAATTGAATAGATCTGTAGTAAACATAATAGATTGACTTACAGTCGACAATTATTAGACTTTAAGAAGCATTAAACAGTTATTCTGTTCTATTATATATATTATTCAATTGATTTTATAAATTGAAATAATTCTTAAACTATTGATTACTGAGGAGTCCTATATAAGGACGAAACGGTAGTCCAGTATTTTCAGATCTAGCTTCAATGGACTCATAATCTCAACTATTAAAATAATCTATTAATCAAAATAAAGCTTATCATAAGAGGAATATAGAGATCATACATCATCTACTTACTGAATAGTTATACAATGATATAAAGATATATAGATAGATTATTAGTCTTCAGAAGGTATTTATAGTATACTCTTTACTGGGATATAACAGTGTGAACACTCTGAAACGGTGTGTGACATAAAAAAAGTGATCATATCTATCTATCTATCTATCTATCTATCTATCTATCTATCTATCTATCTATCTATCTATCTATCTATCTATCTATCTATCTATCTATCTATCTATCTATCTATCTATCTATCTATCTATCTATCTATCTATCTATCTATCTATCTATCTATCTATCTATCTATCTATCTATCTATCTATCTATCTATCTATCTATCTATCTATCTATCTATCTATCTATCTATCTATCTATCTATCTATCTATCTATCTATCTATCTATCTATCTATCTATCTATCTATCTATCTATCTATCTATCTATCTATCTATCTATCTATCTATCTATCCACACATCTATCTATCTATCCACACATCTATCTATCTATCTATCTATCTATCTATCTATCTATCTATCTATCTATCTATCTATCTATCTATCTATCTATCTATCTATCTATCTATCTATCTATCTATCTATCTATCTATCTATCTATCTATCTATCTATCTATCTATCTATCTATCTATCTATCTATCTATCTATCTATCTATCTATCTATCTATCTATCTATCTATCTATCTATCTATCTATCTATCTATCTATCTATCTATCTATCTATCTATCTATCTATCTATCTATCTATCTATCTATCTATCTATCTATCTATCTATCTATCTATCTATCTATCTGTATATGTAATATCAAAGAACTGATTTAATATTTTTATCATTGAAACCATGTATGTTCCCAGTATAAATATTTATATATTTAATTATCAACTTCCGGGTATAATTATTTAAAACAACTATGTATAGATTAATTGAAATACTGTCGCCATGATCCAGTTGATGACAAGAAGGAGAAAAAAATCCAGCTAAGCAAACAAACAAACAAACAACAGTTTGCATTGAATTATTTAATTAGTGACATTTGTCTCATTCATTTATGTATATAAACAATCCTTTACATTAATATTAGATGTTGTTGATTTCGAAAGGATAAATTCTTTAAAGTAAGTGTTATTTTATTTATTAAAATATCCATTTTATTATTGAACATGGATCACCCATTTTTATGGTGATTGCAATAGTTGATATCATGAGTCAACTGAAGCCCCTAAATGACCCCGGTAAAGCTGAGGGTGGGGAGACTCCACCCTCTATCTCTCTCTCGAAATGCCCTCACATGACCACATACATACAACCACTGACAGGGAAATCCGACTCACTCCCTTCTCGCCACTAGGGTGTTGTTTACGAAATTAACAGGACGAAAAGCGAATGTCCGGTGTTTTAACCGGGTTGGTGGACACGGACAGTCCACCTAGGGGAGTTGGGAAACCCTCATTCCAAACCAATAGTGCACATGATCTCCAGTATTCTGATGGAACAAATAACGTATGAACCTATTGTTGGTCACTAGCTACCATGTGACTGCATTTCCTGACACTGCTCCACATCGTTGTGGATTAGACCTTTAGGTCGAAGGCTTCTAGTGTGGTCTCCTAATAAATCTACCTGCTTTGGTTTGAGCACCTTGGCAGTACCCAAGCCCTCACACAAATCGAATGATTTGTGGCGCATATGTATTCGGTGCCTCCTTGTACCAATGTTTATGTATTAAAATTAATAAATAATAAATAGGACCACCATAGCTTCAATTGACTCATGATCTCAACTATTGAAATTACTATAATATCCACAACAAACCCTTCTGACATTCTTTTATAAACAGCTCATGTTGTAATAAGTGAGAACAATCGAATGTTTTTGAATACAAACATAATGTCTTAGTAGAATTTGTGAACTATACAGTGAATAGTTCATTTGTAAAATGTCAATCCATTGTCTCAGACTCTGTTACTGTCATAGAACTGAGATATTTATATTGATTAATGACTCAATAGTGACCAATGTAATGTTTGTCTAATACAACTAGTTCTACTGTGATGTATATTATTTATGTTGACAGATATAAGTAGTATGTAGCAGAAACAACAGCAGCAGTCGCAATTAGAATGCTTACCAGAAGAAGACTAAAATGAAGAAAACAGGATGGAAACTAGAGAGCAATCGAGATAACAACAGAATTAGAGAAATAATGGAGTAAATAAAAGACAACGTAAAGAAGATTTACTAATGATGTATATAATGCATGATCCATTATATTTTACTAAATCACTGTGTGATTACGACCTTAGTGATAAATTACATTTCCCCGGACGAATTTACCTTCATTACACTATAACTACTACCGTTATGAACGAGAGCATTATGTGGGGACAACCATTTGGTGAAATGTTAATACCATATGTTCAATACTTCATTTGCAAAATATCCATCAATTATGTCAAACTTTGTTGTTCCATCATTTCCATACCAACCATTCTCTGTTACCGTGCTCTTTTTGATTTTCTTAACCTTTTACTACCAAACATTCCATTTTCGATTGGTAATACATACTACTTATATCTGTCGACATAAGTAGAACACACCACACTACTACTAACAATAACCATAATAATAATAACGGTAATAATACGAAACTAAACTTTATTTTATACCACATTTGTTTACCGTACATAATCCGGCGAGACTAGAATTTATGAACAAACCAATCAGGTATAAGATAATAGATCTTGGATTTTCACGCAGAATCCATTTGACTAAATAGCCTTTTGACATTATAGTTGATGTCAGTTAGTGATGAAAACCCTAAATCTAATTTTCAACCTTAACCATCAATCGTAAATTATAATCCTTATTCACCACATTGGTTTATAACATTTATTTGGTCCCAGTTATTAGGTGGACAATCTAAAGATCAGTTAAGCACCACTCAAAGGTCGTTCATAAATTATGGTTTTACGCCTGTCATTCCCAGCGGAGCATAGGCCGCCGACGAGCATTCTTCAACCCACTTTATTCTAGGCCAGAAAAAAATAATTCTCATCTTACTCTACAATAAATTGGAGTTCAATTGCACAAATCTATTCATTTATTGAATCTTCAATGTTTATATTCTTTGATCATTTGATTGTAGATTGTTTCTATCCGATTCCACTGAATAATCATTAACTTCATAGACTATAAACTCTGATAGTTTCAAACTTAATAAAAATGTCAGTAGGGGGTTTTGTGGATATTATAGTAGCTCAAGGGTTGAGATCATAAGTCAACTGAAGCTAGACCACCGTTTGAAACCTGGAAGCACTGGACGGCAGTTTCGTCCTATTGTGGGGCTTCTCATCAGTGAGCATCCACAATCCTGATCGCGGGATCCAAACCCAGGACATCGGTCTTGCGTGTGAACTCCTAATCTCTAGACCACTCAGTCGGCATCCAGCGGTGTCAATCTCTAGATGAAACCAATCTACGAAATTCAGCCACATGTCTACCTCACAACAGACTCGGTTGAAATCCACTGGTTACTGCTTTTCATTAGAACTTCAAGAATTATATCTCTTGAAGCCAGTCAATAGTGAGCATATGTTGATTAATATCAGAAGGGTTTTTTGTGGATATTAGTGTAATTTAATAGTTGAGATCATAAGTCAATTGAAGCTAGATCACCATGGGAAACCTGGAATACTGGACGGCCGTTTCGTCCTATTTTGGGACTCCTCAGCTTTAAGTAACTACTAATTTTCACGATTTTGATAAATTATTGTTCTAATCAATAATACATTCTATTCTGATAATCTTGATTTATCAACGATCATTATGATTTAACAAAATCCCATTATGTTATTAGTATCCTGGAGATATGATTGATTACTTGACCCTATTCAACTGAACAAGTATTGATATAGGTTAATGTAAGAAAGAAGGCAAAACAATTGTTGAACACGTTTATATATGAATCAACCTCATGAACTTGAACAGATACAAATTATAGTAGTTTATGAAATCTACCACAAAACGAGTCATTAGTCAATAAGGGATTAATATTCATTAAAGTAATTTGACAACAATCAATTTGTTTTAAGATAAATTGATATCAGACATTAGGAAATATTTCGACAACTACCTCTTAACTGTATGAAATTTAGTTGATTATCTAATGAATACAAGGACTCAGGAATTGAGCAAAAGGCCTCATGAAACTCATTCGCTGTTAACAATAGTGTACCAAGAATAAAGGTATATTTTGAGTAGATCAAGCATTTTAGTAAGGCCTGTAAACATTGTAATCATGAACAGAGTTTAGATAGAGTATTGATTTTCACAAGCTTAAATGGATGATTCCGATAGAGTTCCGTTCTCTGAGCTGGATCGTTTAATCGTGAAGCTTTGATTGTTCTTCCGAACAACATCATAAGTATACACTTTATGTAGAAGTGATGTATTGTTAATGTTGATCTTTGATCTGTCTTTGTCAACATCTAGGTCGACGGGTCAAGCTATCGGTTGAATGTAGAGAAATTCAAATACATCACTTTTTCTTGGAGTTTACGTTGATGATGTTGTTCAGAATAACAATCTAAGCTCGTCGATTAAACCATCCAGCTCAGAGAATGAAACTCGGTGATACTACAATTTATGAACGACCTTTGAGTGACCTCAAAAGTATCTACCTACTTAATAGAGTTAAATGAAGGTTAGAAAGCAGTTTGAGGAATAAAGATAGTGATTTAAGGTTGATGATAAGGGTTAGGATTTTGATTTATTGTTTTCATCATGATATGACATCACCTAAAATGTCAAGACGAATGTGTGAGTGAATTTTGTGCCAAAATCCAAGACCTGTTATACTAAATCTGATTGGTTCGCTCATAAATTATAGTCTCGCCATCTATAACATATGATTCATTCTGTGTGGGACTCATCTGGAGCAATTTGGATGACTGTCCCGGTCTCCTACATTGTATGAGGATTCTATGTACCTAAATTAATGGAGGGCATCAACTTCGTGACTTCCGAAGGGACTCGACTTTCACCATGAGGCGTTATAACTCTTCTAAATGAAGACTTTCTAACTTCCAGGACAGAGTTTAAATGGCTTGAATTATTTTTTCTGGCTAGCGTTTTTTAGCGAGTTAGTTGTCTACGGAATGGGCTCACTAACCTTATGCCAGACCCTCCTCCTTTATCCGGGCTCGGAACCGGCAGTAGCCCCAGAGGGGCTGAAGGCTGAGTTTGTGGAACTCATCAATTCGAAATAACTCCATCCCAGTTTGGATATATATAATGAGATTACAATCTAATCTTACCTCTTTATATACTGATACGCTTTTTACTAAATTACTGAGTTCAATTGGCTATTAACTGGTTTACTATACAATCCGCTTAAGATTAATAAACGACAACAGAGACAGATCTATTCCAGTTATAATTATCAACAACTGGCAATTACAAACCCTAAATAAAGTTCTTTATTGAATATGGTAATATTTTAATGCTTCGTGACATCAATAAAATACAAACAGGAAAGAATAATTGCAGTAAGAAATTATGTAAATTGAAAATTTTTTATCCAGAAGTCATTATGATCAAATAAGTTTATTGCTCCCAAATGCCTTGGTACGGCCGGGGGTGGAGAGATTCTACTCTCTCTCCCTCTCTCGAAATGCCCTCACATGGCCGCGTGCATACAATCACTGACAGGAAAGTCGTACTCACTCCCTTCTCGCCACTAGGGTGTTGTTTACGAACTTGACAGGACGAAAAGTGAATGTCCGGCGCTTCAGTCTGGTTGGTGGACACGGATAGTCCACCTAGGGGAGTTGGAAAACCCTCATTCCAAACTAATGGTGCACATGGGCTCTAGGATCTTGAAGGAAAAAATAGCGTATGAACCTATTGTTGGTCACTGGCTACCATGAGACTGCATCTCCTGACGTTGATCCATATCGTTGTGGATCAGACCTTTATGTCAAAAGCTCCGGGTGTGGCCCTCTAAGAAAACCGTCTGATTCGACTTAGGCACCCGAGCAGTATCACAACCTTTACACAAATCAGTGGTAACTACTACTGGCCTCATTGTTATTGTTTGACGCATATGTCTTTGGTGCCCCCTTGTACCAATGCTTATGTGTTAAAATCAATAACAATAATAATAATTGTTTTCATTCAATTTTCTTTTCTTATATTCTCATCAATTTGAATGATCTATTTATTGTCAGATAAACCAGTGATAAATAATGAGAACAGTTATATGGTTATCATTTGTAGTGTTAACATTGTATTGTGTAGCCAACATAGAAGGTTAGTTTTATAGTTTGTATATAAAGATTATTATGTAACATTTGTATTCCTGAATGCTTTAAGAAAAAGAACACTGGTTGTCTAAATCTGATCTTGATGAAGTTTTGTTCTCTGTGCTGGATGATTTAGTCATGGAGCTTTTATGTAGAAGTCTATTTGAAGTTTGTACTGATGATGTCTTCCAGAAGAACGATAAAAGCTCCACGACTAAACCATTCAGTTCAAAGAAAAAAACTCCATCAAAATCATCCACCTGAGCTACAAATCTTCTCCACTATCTTAACCTTGATCTATTTATATTAACTGACCATTAAGTTATAACCGGTATAATGTCTGCATAATTCTTAATATTAACAGAATTATAACTTCTGTAACATGACATTATGTACATTGTGTTTTGATGTCTTAGAGGAAGTCATTCAAGATTTGAATATTCTAAAGATATAGTTTTGAATTAATGAATTGATGAATTCTTTTCAGTATAGGTTTGTGGAGATTATTAAGTTTTTGATTGAGATCATGATGAGTGCCAAGTAACACGAAACCTGGGTCCAGGGTTTCCTGTTGACTACCTTCAACCACCATCTTACTTCAACATAGTGCACGCAGTGTCGAAACACCTAGACTGGTGGCCACATTGCAACTTGGTCGATAGCATTCGATCTGCACTAAGAAGGACTTGACACACATCACATTGATCACCACCCAGAGATCAATCAATTGTGATCATGAATCGATTAATGTTAGACCATTACTGAAAACCTGGAAGCATTGGATGGCTGTCTCATTTTATTGTGGGATTCCTAGGCAGTGTGCATCCACGATCTTGCTCGCGGGATATAAGAATTGTAAAACATAACTAACAGACATAGTAATGCGCAAAATAACTTCAAAACAACGAGGAATAGTTATTCAATGAACAATGATCATCAATGATACGCTAGCTTATGTTCATTCGTGACGAATACTACTTACAAATCATTATGATACAACGAATCGTTTGATATAACCCTTGATGATAAACGAAATTATCTAGATATTGTCTCATTAGAAAAGAATATTTTTCCTTCAACCTCCAGGTACATTGTAAATGGAAATAAGGGGGGGGGGGAAAATTAGTTGAATAACTCTAAATACTAAATTCTAATGTCATTCCCTTAATTGGACCTCAATAAAAAAGAATAAATTATCATATGATTCTAAGGTATTGTAGTTAGTGTATAAACCCTTACTGGAGCCATTCCAGTGCCACTATCGATTCCAGGCGTCAATAAATGAGGAGTATTGTTTGTAGGGTTAGTAATGTTACCCTTATGAAAAACAAACTCCGATACAGAATCAATTACTGGAGAAAACCATTTAATGAATAGTCTAGTTACATTAATGCTTGAATGTTTGTTTGAAGAGATGGGTAAATGAGGATTTATTATTGAAAGATATATAAGAAAATTAACATTCAAGCATCATCTTCAATGATTCATTAAGCTTGCTAGTTAGATTACAGTGATTTTATGACTAAATTGATATACTTTTGTTTTATCTAATGATCAGTTGTCCAAATGAAATTCATCTCAAGAAGGTAAAATGCTAAACTCTTCTGAATATCACCATCTGATTTGAATAAACCCATATACTAAAGAATGGAAGAACTGCTACATCCTCTAACCTATCTTTCATAATTGTGCGCGGAACAATAGATCGAGTTCCAGGTCAATAGAAGAGGCTGTTAGTCTGTTGAACAAAAATTTTTAATAGTTACTTCAGCGAAACTATAATTTATGAACGAACCAATCACGTATAAGATAACAGGTCCCTGATTTTGACGCGAAATTCATTTATTCATTTGACTAAATATAGTTTTGGCATTATAGTTGATGTCAGTTCGTGATGAAAACCCGAAATCTAATTCCTTACCTTAACCATCAACTGTAAATCATAATTCTAATTCTTCACACTGGTTTATAAACCTCATTTGGTCTTGGTTATTAAGTGGACACTCTGAAGATCACTCTAACGTCGCTCAAAGGTCGTTCATAAGTTATAGTCTGACCATTCAATTGACTTACATAGATTGCTGAGTTTTGCTTGATATTACGAATCAATCAATATTAGACTACTCCATTGAGGTTAAGATTTTACGAGTGAAACCGAAGGGACTGGGTTCGAATCCCACAAGTGAGATTGTGGATGGACATTGCTGAGGAGTAAAATATATAAGATTCTAGTTTATTGATTTTTATTTTAAAACCTAATACAAGCGATTAATTTGTTTATTCCTTAAGATACTGACAAACTAGTTGCACAAACTTACTGGGATGAGCGTTTCATCCATATGGAGATTCGTCAGTTATGTGTACCTAGAACTCGATGTTACTGTTCACATTAGGCACATAATTCAAGATCTGTCTCCCTAAACATCAATGTTTGTTACCTATACGGTTAGTGCGGTACTATAGGCACAAACTTGTTAAAGGGGGAAAGTAGTTGTTATTATTTGGATTTACAGGAGTTTACATTAGGCTATTGTTGATATTTAGAAAAGTATGCACTCCAACAGAGGCTGGTTTAAGTCAGTTATGAATATCCATGACAGGGAAAAACAATTTCTTACAAATAATGTTGAGGTTGTATAGAGAGTATTTTATTTATTTACATATTACTTGTAAACTATCTGAATTGTCTTCGAATTCTTAATACGTATCTATTCCTTTTGTTAGCTAATCAAAAAGTTATCTTCCGAGGTGCTCAGTCGTATGCTGGTTACAAAGGGAGTAAAAACAATCTAAGAAGGACACCTACTTCTCGCCGCGTTGATGTAAGCCAAGTCCAATTGTATGGTGCTCGAAGAAATGATCCGACTTACCGTCAAGGATTAGAAGAATTAGCTGGTTTAATGTAAAATGAAAGTTTCAAGACAAAAAAATTATTCATTAAACATACTTTATAATATTTCAAGTTTGCAACTCTTAACATATTTTCTTAGTTAATACAGTAATTATATTTATGCATGGTATTGAAAGTATCCTTAGAAGATTCCCTTCATATAAAAACCGGTACCGTCCAACTCATTGTTCTAACAGTTAAATATTAGCTGAAGGAACTGAAGGTCCAAGGTACAGTCCTAAGGAGTTTCATATCATGACAAAACAGTTATCGATTGCACCTTAACTTTTAAAAGCACCTCGAATGAAAGGTAAATCAGTGGCTAATACCAACTTAAAATTTAAATGTATTCATAGTTTCAGAAAGAGATTTTTGTGGATATTATGGTAATTTAGTAACTGAGTCAATCGAAGCTAGACCACCATGGAAAACTTTGAACCACTAGACCACCGTTTCGTCCCATTGTGAGACTCGTAAACAGTGCGCATCCGCCACCCCGCTTCGCAGGATTCAAACCCGGGATCTATCGGTTTCGCGCGCGCAAACGCTTAAAATCTAGACCACTGAGCCGGAATCTAACAGCCGTCCAGTGCTTCCAGGTTTACCATGATGGTCTAGATTCAATGGACTCATGATCTCAACTATTAAACTAAATAAAATCTTAAACTGACCTATTTTTTCAATAAGTTTTACATCTGCCTATCTAAATTACTCTATTTGTCACTTCAGAATATTGATAAACACCACTCCTAACTTTCATTTTCAATAGAACTAGGTTTAGATAACAATAGTTATTCTTCTATCAACACACAACCGGTTTTCAAATGCTAGCTAATAAAAAGCATATGAATACTTTATACTACTTATAGAATTAAAAGTAGTTAAAACTAGGAGTTACCACTAACTGAATTCAGTAGCTGTTTTCATTTTAAGCAGAGATGGATAATGGCTAGCAGTGGAATCCAGGATGCGCATTTCGTCCTATTTGGGACTCGTCAGTTGGATGTACCTGCAATCCACACAGGATGCACGTATGCCAACATGAGGCTGATCAATTGCAGTCCTAAATAACAATGGGAAGATACAAGTAAAACAACACCAAGTATTTTCATTTTAGTTGAATATACTTGTTTCATCAATGAGCACATAAAATTCCACCCTGAATCAAAACTAATATTAACATGTCATTTACTTCCTGCCTTGTTTTCACCGCTCTTCAAGCTGATATCATACCGTGGTAAAACCTATACCTTGTCAAATATGTTTGCGTTTTATCCTTAATGATACTATTGAGTTTCTGTTAACAAATGTACTCTTTCGACAAATGCATTGAAATCTTCCCATCTATCACTAGTTGGAGGAGCGTTATGTAATGTTCGATAGTCGTCAATTATGTGTATTGATATATCAGTATTGATATACAGGGTTAAAGGAGAAATGATTACCTATGGATTTAGACCCAAAAGCTCTTTATCTACTAAGATAAAGTTTGATGATAACTGTGAAAATTCCGAAAAGAAACACTATTTGCCATTATTCATAATAAGTTAATTTCTTTGTGGTTCAAATGATCTAGCAGTTGTAAAAGATAGAAGTCATGTATCCGTTTTTCAATGTTAAATGTATATCTGTGGCATGAAACCTTTTTCAAGCACGTTTCCGTTAATTTAATAAATGAGCACCACCTTCACCCCCACACATAACAGTACAATTTCAACTGATTTCATCCCACAATCTAACATTTACTTCGTTTGCTTCTGTTATGACCTTGATTTGTCTACCCACTTTTTGGTGCCGAGGATACTGGTCTAATCTAGATTTCGACCTTGATGCGATAGGCTGATCGGCTTAACCTTGAGACTAGTACGCGTGAGTTCGAGATGGGGTAGAGAGAAGAAAACTATTCTGTCACCTGATTGGTAGGCAAGCACACGGATGAGAGAAGACAAGACAACTGGAACACTACTCGATCTACTTCCTGACCACTGAACTCACTGGATTCACTGAATTCAGATTAGTGTAAAAAGGCACATGAATAAATAAGTGAATAACCCGACCGCAACGTACAATAATTAGGAAAAATACAATTATGTCCAAAGCTGGGAATTAGAGTAGAAAATAGGGTGCAAAATAATATGTTCAAATTACAATAGCTTTGGAACAGAAAAAGGTATGGCAGTGAATGATACATTGAACGAAAGCTTATGTTCTATAGAATAGATTAGGGACAAAAATAAATGTCAGTGTTTTACAAGCTTTGAATAAAATGAAATAACGTCCCGAAAAACAGCCTTCGTAGTTTGTCAGGGCTTCTTGTTTCCCGGTTCACATCAGCTTCTCCTTGTTGTCAAATTGGGATGAGTTACGGTTGTAAGTTTATAGAAGACCTATGTGTATAGCATTTGATGATTGAAATGGAGTGTCCGCTGAAAATCATGCTGTTATATGTAGTACACACCCCTTAGACGAAGAAAAAAACATTGAAAAATGCTAGATATTTCACATGTATTGAACATCAAATAATGGATAGATAACTTCAGACACATAAATAATTAACATCTAAACCATTTAATAGAAAGTTCAAGCGTGGTTATATTCTCTGTATGGGTTTATGGAGATTGTTGAGTTTCTGATTGAATTTATGAACGGATCAATGTCAGACCACCATGGAAAACCTGGAAGCACTGGATGGCTATTTTATCCTATTACTGAAATCCTCAGCAGCGCACATCGATGATCCCATACACGAGAGTCGAACCCAGGACCTACCGGTCTCGTGAGCGAGCGCTTAACCAATAGACCACTGAGTCGGTCGGGATCCGATGGTGTTAATCTCTAACTTCAACTAATCCACGAAATTGGGCGACACATCTATCATTGTCTTCTGTGAGTTACTATCTCACAATAGACCCGGTTGAACTCCACTGGTCATTGCTTCACCCTAGAACTCCAGGAAATACATGTTGAAGCTAGTCACTAGTGAGCATATATTGATTAGTATCAGAAAGGGTTTTGTGAAGATTGTAGTAAGTTCAATAGTTGAATTCATGAGTCAATTAAAGCTAGACCACTATAGAAAACCTGAAAGTACTAAACGACCGTTTCGCCTTATTGTAGGACTTCTGAGCAGTGCATATCTATAATCTCAGACACGAGACTAAAAACTAGGATCTTCGGTCTCGAGTGCGTGAATGCTTAACCTCTAGATCAATCAGAAGGTATCTAACGATATTAATATCTAACTTCAAACTAATCCACAAATGAAATTTAATAGAAATTCATAAACAGTCAAACCTTAATTTATAGACGACCTTTTGGTGACACCTAAATGACCTTGAGACGACTCACTTATAAAGGTCAAAAAAAGGAATTATCGATTAGTGAGAGGAACTAAGATTACAAATTAAGGTTAAGAATTCAATTAAGGATTTTTATTACTCCCTAACACAATTATAATATCAAAAGGGGTTTTATAAATATTATAATAATTTCAATGATTGAGATCATGAGTCAGTTGAAACTAGACCACCATAGAAAAACTGGAAACAACTGGAACAATTGAATGGGAAAATTCTGGACTTCCTATCTTTAATTTCATTGGTTTATTCATAAATTACAATCTTCCCCATTGAAAAAAAAAAAAACAAAAACAATCCAGGGTAGAGTTTTACATAAATGTTCATTTTTCAAATATGGATGAATAGAATTATTCAATCCCATTAATAACATAAACATTTATCGTTTAATAAGTCATACATAAATTAAGTATCCTAGTAGATTGAAATGATTTTATTTAGAAAAATAGAATAATTTAGTGCAATCCTTAACTTACTTACTTACGTGTGTTACTCCTAATGGAGCATAGATTGCCGACCAGCTTTTGCAACACACTCTATCCTGGACCTTCCTTTCTAGTTCTATCCAATTGTTGTTCATTCTTTTCATATGTTTCCATTTCTCTGTGTAATGTGTTCTTTAGTCTTCCTCTTCTCATTTGTCCTTCGGGATTCTAAGTAAGGGCTTGCCTTATGACTCAGTTAGATGCTTTCTTCAATGTGTGTCCTATCTTCTTCCAGCGCTTCTTCCTGATTTCTTCCTCCACTGGAATCTGGTTTGTTCTCTCTAACAGTGGGTTGTTACTGATAGTATCTGGTTAACGAATCCGGAGTATTTTGCGTAGACAATTGTTAATGAACACTTGTATCTTCTGGATGATGGCTTTCGTAGTTCTCCATGTTTCAGCTCCATACAGTCGAACTGTCTTGACATTTGTACTGAAAATTTTGACTTTGGCGTTGGTTGGCAACGTCTAAGGGGATAGAATATTTGTTTTAAAATTTATAGTGGATCCGTTTTTCAATGCTGAATATGTGTATGTGGCATAAAACATTTGCAAGCACATCTCCATTCATTTAATAGATGAGTATTCCCCCCCCATATAAAGGTACAGTTTGAACTAACGATTTCATTTCAACATCAAACATTCATTTCATTTACTTCTCCCAGATGTCAAGTTGTGATGAGTTACAGTTGTATGTTCATAGAAGACGCACGTGTATAGCTTTCGATTGTTGGAATGGAATATGCACTAAAAATCATGCTGTTATTTGTAGTACATACCCCCTAGATGAAGGGAAAACATTGAAAAATGCTAGATATTTTACATGTATTGCACATAAAATGATGGAAGTTTAAATTTATATGTTTCTAAATGATAAGTCTTGCAATTTGAACGCTGTACTTGATTCCTAAGCTATTCTTGAGACCCCCAAGCTAGAACTAAACACCGATCTGAACACGAGAGAGAAGGTGCAAAGCATGCGAAAAGTACTTTACTCCAAGGTTCCTCCTAATACAGAAAATACAGGGTTTTTATAATATTTCAAATGTTCTTGGGTTGCTCGAAGATTCTGGAATGCTACTAAACATAGTAGTAGTGTAGCAATCAGCTAATCAGAACCTCTACATGTGACGTTTCACTTCCTTGATGTTAGTGGCTAAACTCCAAGTGAACGCTGATTGAATGAAATGCTTCTTAATGTCTCCTGATCCTTGAGTGTCTTTTGCGAGAAATATTCTGAATCATCCCAACACTAAAGTATCTCTTAAAGGATAAATGAAAATACACATACATGTTAAGAATGTTGATAGAGATTTGTTCTCTGACCTGGATGGTTTGGTCGTAATGGTTTCATCGATATTTTGAACAACATCATCAACACAAACTTCAGGTAGAAGTGCTGATTATGTCGTTTAGAATATCGATGAAACCACCACGACCAAATCATCCAACACAGAGAATAAAACTACACCGAAATCATCCACCAGAACTACAAATATTCTCCATCATCCCATGTTAAGAACGTGTTTGAATTAGATTAGCGAATAAGCAGTTGATTGAAATCGAAGATTATATTAAATGATATAAATTTACATTAAATCTTTTTATGAGATAAATTGCAGTTTTCAAAATACAGTCAGCTAAACATTCTCAAAAAGAAAGCTGAATCCTAAGATGAAATTGTGTCTTTAGAATTCGTTTACATTTACATCACGAATGTCGAACAAATTAGTGGTCATATTGTAGACTGATCTATTCAAATTGATCACAACGAGTAACTAAGCATAGTAAATATTCACTATTCTTCAATGATCAACATTTGTACATACACCAATCGAAAAGTTAGTAACCGATTTCTCAATGAAATTCGCTATTGTAGATACAAATATGAAAAACAGTACCAATCAATTCCCATAAGATAATACAAACCCTATACTGACAAATGTAGACTAACTTAACATTTAGGCAAAGTATGAAATACAGTCGTTTATCTGTAACCATTTAACATACACAAAAATAAAGCGAAATTGCAAGCATTCAGAGAAACAATGCAAATTACAGTGTATAATAAAACATTTTGTCAATCAAAATATTCATCCACAGTCACATCTCAGTCACATATCACACATGTGTATCAAATTCAAATCAATCAGTCAATCAATTGCAATGAATAGATCAATGGTCCTATCACTAATCAACACTCATTTACATTTATTCAATGAGAACATAGTTCAGGCTTCTCAACGCACATATCGTTCTACTGATTACACAAATTCACATATTCCATACAACATGTGAATTGAACAAGAGGTAACATCATTGTTATCCATTTGATTAGTGGATAGACAATTAATTGTAACGATCAACACGATACCGCAATGCACTACACTACCTGGTCACATTTCACAGTAATCAGTGTCATATATACTTCTCATCAAGTTTGACAACAAATCAAGTTATGCAATACCGCATCCGGTAGTATGGGATATCACACAAAATAGATTGTACGAACTACAAGGAATCATCTTGATTGGAGAACAATACTACTCATAACATTTTGAAGTAGACACCAATAATGAGGACATATGTCACACAATATTGTACTAATTTATCATTATCATTCACAACATCATCATTTTGTTATCAACACAACCTTGTAACCGAGAAAAGTAAAAAGGAAAACAATGAAGAAAATCTGATATAACTAAATCTTGTTTTCCTCAGACATATAAACAAGGTCATTGTAAATTGAAAACATTCGTTCAATCATTTTGAAATAATCGAAGGATATGGTGGTTGGACCAATTTGTTTCTTGAAGATGTGAAATTGGCACAACATACTATCAGATCTATTAACAACGTAAACCTTGAAACTATTTTGTCTAATTCGTGATTGGCTTATCGTTTCTATCCAGTGAACGAATGTTTTCAATTTACAATGACCTTGTTTATATGTCTGAGGAAAACAAGATTTAGTTATATCAGATTTTCTTCATTGTTTTCCTTTTTACTTTTCTCGGTTACAAGGTTGTGTTGATAACAAAATGATGATGTTGTGAATGATAATGATAAATTAGTACAATATTGTGTGACATATGTCCTCATTATTGGTGTCTACTTCAAAATGTTATGAGTAGTATTGTTCTCCAATCAAGATGATTCCTTGTAGTTCGTACAATCTATTTTGTGTGATATCCCATACTACCGGATGCGGTATTGCATAACTTGATTTGTTGTCAAACTTGATGAGAAGTATATATGACACTGATTACTGTGAAATGTGACCAGGTAGTGTAGTGCATTGCGGTATCGTGTTGATCGTTACAATTAATTGTCTATCCACTTATCAAATGGATAACAATGATGTTGCCTCTTGTTCAATTCACATGTTGTATGGAATATGTGAATTTGTGTAATCAGTAGAACGATATGTGCGTTGAGAAGCCTGAACTATGTTCTCATTGAATGAATGTAAATGAGTGTTGATTAGTGATAGGACCATTAATCTATTCATTGCAATTGATTGACTGATTGATTGATTTGAATTTGATACACATGTGTGATATGTGACTGAGATGTGACTGTGGATGAATATTTTGATTGACAAAATGTTTTATTATACACTGTAATTTGCATTGTTTCTCTGAATGTTTGCAATTTCGCTTTGTTTTTGTGTATGTTAAATGGTTACAGACAAACGACTGTATTTCATACTTTGCCTAAATGTTAAGTTAGTCTACATTTGTCAGTATAGGGTTTGTATTATCTTATGGGAATTGATTGGTACTGTTTTTCATATTTGTATCTACAATAGCGAATTTCATTGAGAAATCGGTTACTACCTTTTCGATTGGTGTATGTACAAATGTTGATTATTGAAGAATAGTGAATATTTACTATGCTTAGTTACTCGTTGTGATCAATTTGAATAGATCAGTCTACAATATGATTACTGATTTGTTTGTGTTATAACTTGTGGCCTTGTACCCTATTAATATATAACGTAATGATACCGCTAATTAGAGAACAGTGAATTTTCGATCGGATCAATGACACATAGACTCGTACGAATAGTCTAGAATATTTATCGTTCCTTCTTCCTGCCTAGCCCTGCTTGTTGAGTTCAGAACACCAATCTCAGCCCCCCCCCCAATATGAATCGTGTATTTCAAACTTACTGGGTTTCTATACAAATCAAATAGACCACACTATACCATAAAATAGGAAACAACATTTGTAGAAGATCTAGCCAAAAGTGGCCATGAATGTGGGAGACTGTAATTAATAGACTGGGTATAACTCAAGAATGGTAAAGGATATAATAATAGTCTATGGGTTAAAATAAAGATTGTAATGAGAGGAAGGTAGATATACATAACTTATCTATTTAGCAATTATACAATAAGAATATACGTATAGTATTACTCCAGAAATAGTTTCCAACAGTTACCAATCATTATTCTCGTCAGGATATAACAGTTTAGTATGCGTGATGTCTAAGTATAACAATTCTAAAGTCACTTACAATTTAAACTTAACCATAAATTTCCGTTCATTACTAGAAATTAATTTGAACGGTATCAACAAATCATTGTTTCTATTTACTAGAATCGATATTTGCAGTAAAAAAATCATATTTCTGTATAATATAACTGATTATGTACAAAGATGGATAGTGGCTAGCAGTGAAATCTAGGACACGCGCTTCGGCCTATCTTTGCACATAATGCTTGTGAATTAAGGCTATATCGAGGTAATACACACAGTATTCACATATGCCAATAAGAGACTGATCAATTGCAGTCCTAAAAATCAATAGGAAGATTCAAACAAACTATATTAAGTGAATTTAAACTTTACTCCATTGCACAAGCAGTTGGCTATCAGGACTCAGTAGCT